TCCTCGTTTGGTAGGCCACTGCACCAAGTCCATGAACCCTTTCGCTGAGCCCTGGCCGTCTTCCAACCCGAACCGCGCGGGAAAGTCGCCTCCGCTGCGATGCACCCCTACAACCGGGTTGGCGATTGGATTTCGCCTTGCCCGCCATTCCCACCAAAATTAACAAATCTTGGATCGTTTTGTTTTCTGGCAAGGAGAGCGCCCACACATTTTGTCTCTCCGATTTGGTGCAAGCATAATATTAATTCAGTTTCTGCGCCATGCACTCGTGGCGCCACGTGGGCGCTGATATTTTAGAGAGGATGTATTAGTCCCTCTGTCTTTTCCGTGAAGATCATCCTTCTTCTGTTGACAAGGCCAACGCCAGTCAGCGGGGCAGTGGTTTAGGGTTTGGATTGTCCGAAACAAGAGGAGACCCTCATGGAAAGCACAGAGCGATTAATTGGGTGCCGATCTGATACGTGTGAGAGTTGAGGTTTTTAGGGGTTTCAGGGGATTCACTGTTTTAGTGTGTATTGGGGGTGATTAGAGCTTTAGGGGACGGGACAGTCTGTGTCGGGCGCACTGCCTGCGCGTCACCAGGAAACGGTAGCGGCGGGACATAAATGTGGGTCTTGGCTCTTGATCTGGGCTGGCTTTTGCTCGAACGGCATGTCTGCACAAGCCATGCTGGGGTGACACTAAAGGTTGTGGTTGCTCCTTCGCTTGGATGTCTGGGTATCTTTGTCGACTGGATTGAAGGGGATCGACTCAATCGATGTCCAGGGTTGATGCAGCCAGTGGATCGGGGGAGTTGGCTGGCTGATTGATAATTGATTGATTGACTGACAGATTGACTGATTGGTGGATTGGTTAACTGACGGGCTTCATTGCCACGCCAACTACCATAATCCCTGCGTCTGACCGATATCAAATACCAAAGCCATCGAACACACCTGCCTAGGGCAATGGTTGGCTGGTTGTGCAAACTTTTGCCAGCCAGTGCCTCATCACAGACGACAGTGTCAAGTTCGCCCTGTTCCTGACATTTCGCGACAGTCTGTCACAAAGCTCGTCCAAGTTTCCAGAGCAGGCCATGCACTGCAATCCACACTGCTAAACCGCTCGCTTCGTCCATGTGATTCACTTGCATGATCTTCCGTCGCAGTCCATTGCCATTTGAACGCCCACTTCCATCCAAGCTGGCGCCCGAGCTGCCAGTGACACCCGGGAAAAGGACGTTTCCGTACGCTTCTGTACGAAATCACTCAAGAACTGGATCGTCGCTAGCCACTCACTGACTGCAGAGAAGCCAACGTCCAGGACATGCCATTGCACTGCACGGCACCATTGTGCTGTATAGATTACTGGCAATGTGAGGCAGGTCGTGGCGACTCTCAAACGCGCAACAGCAGCGCATGAACTAATCTCACCAAGTGCACAGCAGATCAATGATCGCATCGGTTGTTCTAGTGAAAGGGGAACAACCAGCTTACAACAGGAACAACATGTGCAAAATTGTGTCCACCAGAAAGGGGAATACGCTATATGCGTTGAATATCGAGTGGGGTGGGATGGGATGGGATGGGAATTTTCTGAGGCTGCCATGAGGACAAGGGAATATGGGTAAATCGCAACAATTAGAACTTCCCAATGCTTCTGTGCTGGGAAGCATGCCCTTGGTGTACTCGGGATGATAAGTGTCCAAGCTGAGAATGCGGCCCCACAGCCGCATGGGCCAAAAGGAAAAGCGGACCTTGTGTCACATGAATTCCAAAGAACCTTCATGGGCCACAGTGGCCAATTGGCGCAGGCGGTGGACCCCTTTCGTAAAGCTCGTCAGCTGCCTGCCTGTTGGCATCCCAGTTCTCCGCAGTTAGGTGATCAGCAAGCTTGCATCAAACAGAACGATGAAGGGGTACAGGCTTGGTGTGTTGAGGCGCATTTTGTACTTTTCCCCAACCATCCATTCAGGCACCACCTGCTTACCCACCATAGACAATTCGGCAAAATTAAATCCAGCCTGCAAGCTGCAGGTGATTACAATGGAAACGGAAGTTACAGACACGGATCTGTGTTCTTCCAATACTCCCGACACCACACCCAGGACAATTGTTTCATGCTTGGACTCGTACGTCAGCACCATGGACTGCGCCCCATCTTCCAATCCTGTGTTCCGCACATCGTCTTCCAACAAAGAACAATGACCCTCTGCGACTCTCACATGACGATTCTTGGACCCAACAAAATTCGTGAAACCCAGAATCGCCCTATAGTGTACAATGTCTACACATGCATACAGAATGGGAAAACATATGCTGTGTCATCACTCAGGCGGCTGCCTCAGTGACTGTCACAGGTGCCTCGCCAGCAGTGTCACCCGTCTTGGAGCCACGCCCGCGCCCACGGCCCCTTCCACGGCCGCGGCCACGGCCACGACCCCCACGCACCGGGCGCCTTCCACGGCGACCGGGGCCATCCACGGTGTCCATGGCTTCTGCCTCGCCCTGTGTCCCATCATGTTCGTCCTTGCCGGGTCTGCCAGTGGCGATCCTGGGATGGTCAAAAAGGCATGCGTGACATCACGCACCGGCCAGAAAATTAGATCCCATCCATGAGAACCACAGAGTGCCTGGAAGGTCGAAAGCGTTGAGCAGATCATGCATCAAAATGCATATGCGCAGACGGCTTGCCAACATCCATGTCCACAGACCATAAGTCAGCAAGTGGCGTGGATCACAGAGGACAGCCGCTCCCCCCACACACACACACCTCCGAGCATGGGGGCAGGCATTAAGTGCACAAACGGCACTATCCTGCATTATACATGTGGGCCTTACATTCCGCATCAAGGCTACTGAATCAGCAGCAACCCCATGTTGTTGCATTGACCCACTCAGCAGATAACATGCCAATCTAAGCTAAGGCACGAATCACAGCAAAGCAGCAGCACATCGCAGTATAATTTTATGCCTTTCTGCACTGTGAGCAAACAGCAGTATTGTGCTATCTGGCATTACCCCTGCGGCGGCTATTTAAGAATCCCTGTGACATTCAGCACCCCTGCCACTATCTTCCATAAACTAAAGTACATGGCTAGGTGATTGATGGAAGCATTCTCCGCAGCCATCTTCTACTTCATTACACAAGTCTGCAAGCAAAAGGCATAGCAATTGGCAGAAGCTAGATAAGCAACACTTGGCAGTGGGGCTAGTGGTCACCATGTCTTTGCCTTACAACTGCAGCTGCTGGCTTGGAGTCGCCAGCGCTGTTGGAGGCTGTACCTGTTCCGGGGGCCCCCCCTGCCTCGTCCTCGGCGAGCAGGGACCTTCTTCAGCGGCTCTATCTCCTCATCAGGGAGAGGCGTCTGGTACCTCAAGTGGTCATCCGGGGGTGTTGTGGTGAGCACAATGGAAATAACAGACAGCAGGCGAGTAGTCTCTGCCGGTTCCTGATCGTCTTCCTGGGCCGGACTGGTATCGGTGACCTCTACGGAGCCAATCTCTGTGAGCTGATAGAGCCCCTTCACGCGACGTTTCAAGATCTCGGCTGCACACACGAGGCACCAACCAGTGGGCTGCTGTGACTCGACATGCTTGCCTTACCTGGCGGCAGGGGCAAGGGAGGGGGAGCTGGGGAGGATTTGGCAGAGCGATCGTTGGGTGCAGCTTTCTGCTGCAGGTCCCAGTCTGCCTACCCAGCGATACGGTCTTGTTGATGACGCGTCCCATCCCTTTCAGCACGACAGAAGTCTGGTTCTTGTCCTGCAGCCCACAACATATGGGTGTCAAACATGTCCCTCTGGCAGCATTGACTCCATAGAAGATACCCTTCCTCTTCTGTCCCCAAAACCAATGACGGCAATAATACCATAACAACACACAAATTCCTTCTACCTCTGCTCCTCTCCCCCCCCCCCTCCCCCCCCCTTCTCTTCCCCGCCCTCACCGTGAACAGCGACGCCGCATAGGTAACATAGTTCCTCATCTTCCCTTGCGCCGTGACACGGATCTGCGGCACAAACCCGCGGTTAGGTCAGCTCCATCGACACTCCTCAACACAGGCCACCATCAATGCGGCAGGCGCCGTGGGCCCGCACCTCATTCGCATCGATGGTGTGTGCGTCCTTGCCGTCCTTGGCGGTTGAGTCCACCTTGGCCGCGTCGGCCGCCTCCTGCCCCGCCACGTCTTTCGCTGCCTCCGCCATGTCTCCCTATGACCCGCCTGCCTGTGACACCACCAAAAGGCACCGACCGCGTCAGCGATTCCGCACGGCCTGCGCCTTGCCCCTGAGGCCCAATCCCAAGTCGGGATCAATCCCAGAGAGCCCATTCTCAACTTTGTGCAGGACGGCACCCGGAACCGTCAACCGGACTAAGTAAACACGAAGCTCCGTGCTGGGTCCTCTGGCCGGCCGTGCTGACCCTGTCGAGCAGAGATCCTACCGCCTGTGTCGTTGCTTCACCAACCCCGTTTGAATGCCTCCCACTCCAAAGTATGCACCCCACAACGCATCAGCGATGGTACCCCGCGCTGTGACAAGGTGGACCACCTCTCGCCACAGCCCAATCGGTCTATCAGGGCAGGTGCATGCCAGACCTGCGACCCACCCGCTCCCACACCGCTCACACGACTGCAGCGGCGACCTCCAGACTGGCCATGGCCCACCGGTCAGTGGCGCCCGCGCCCCGAAAGAAACAGCGCGGCGTGGGTGCTTCTAGCAGCCCCGAGTAAGCATCCATCCCCGGTCCATTCCCACGGTGCCCTCCCTCACAGCCGTTGCCCTCCCCTTCTGGCAACAAATGCCAGTCTCAGTGCTCTTCTTGCAGCACCAGCCAAGCCGAGCTGCCGATCAGCCGCACAATCTAACGGCACCGGTTTGGAAACTGGTGTCAATCTTCTGCAGAGGCCCTCCCCTTCCACTCCCCCTTTCCCGCACCCAGCCCCTCTCCCCCACGCGCCGCACACCGCCGCCATACCTCGGGGATTGCTCCAGGCTCCGATTCCACTGCAATGTAGGTGCAGGGGCAAGTTCGTGCCTTTAAACCGTCGTTCGTGGACTGCTGATGCGGAGACTTGTCGAGTCGTGGCAGAATCTTGCCAGCGGGGTACATATAATGATGATGACGATGATGACGATGATGACGATCAATCTTGGCCGCGGGATTTGGAGACGGTGGGGGCAATGATGTACATTCAAACATGTTTTCTTGGGTTCAAATTTTGCCAGGCATTGCCCAAACCGTTCCTGCCTCTTGTAGTGCTGTGCTGTGGCTGCGGGCACAGAAGCACCTTCTGTGAGTATACAGGATTGGTGCACAGTGACAAGGGGCAATCTGGGGGGGGGGGGATGACCTTGGAAGCAGGCACAGGGGCACGTTCCCATACAGGGAAATAACACTGCTGGGTTTGGGAAAGGCCATAGGCAACGTGTACCTGAGCCTCTTCTTGCACAAGCATTATGTGGGATAAGGTTTCGGAATGAAAATCACTCCACCGCAATCGAATCGTGGAAGCCGTGGTAGTTTTTTCAGCTATTATGAGTACTAGGATTTTGCAGTTTGCCCCAAGAGGCGTTTCTTATGTAGAATTTTCGTTGTAACGATGAGTTCGAACTGTTTGGGATCCCAAGTCCAACTTAGGAGATACAGCATCGAGGACACATTGGAGGTTCACAATCCTAGGAGAGACACAATGCGATGCAGTTTTCAAACTCCGTGTGCTGTGATTAACAACAGCACCAACTTATTGCGAAAATTCTTCAAGGACATCAGGATTGGAGGGCCCTAAGGCAGCACATTTACGCGTTGAGTAGGTGTGGAGGAACATTGCTGTCAAGGTGGTTCCTTATCTAGCCACAGCAGCCTTCATAAGATGCCCATCGGCACCATGAAGCATTGATTGAAGGGTGCATGATTTTTTAACATCTGCCACTCAACAGATGGCTTTGCTGTGCAAAGTGCGTGCATCATTTAGCAATGAGCTGCAGCACAGTTTCATCCACTGTCCATGATTGGCATTGGCAGGATGGCCATTGGCATAACTGAGGATGCTTGTAACAATCAGGAATGTCTGACGCCAGACCTTTGGCACATGTGCCCAGCCTTGAGCACAGCCTGAAGCAGCCCCTATTACCACAGAACTGAAAGGGGATCTCTGCTGTGGGTTGGATGCAATGTTTGCCTATCCAAACGTAGTGAATGTTGTGCACACAATGGACAACCCTTACACAGCAAGAAGATTGTTAAGATTGGTAAGAACTGGGTAAACAGCGCAGATACTGTGCAAGTCTTCAAGTGCAAAAGACATAGTACTCAGAGGAGGGGGGAGGGGGGGGGCAAGGGAGAAGGCACTCAACGGTGGCCAAAGGCTGCAGCTCAGCATTGCCAACGTTCCCCTGGCAGTTGTCCTATCAGCTCAGAGCCCCTCAAGGCATGAAATTGACTGCTGCGAAGCGTCCGGAATGCAAAATTCAGCAGCCAGTCTTGCAGACCGTGCAGCAGTGTTTCCTGGATGTAGTCACACAACACGTGCTAAAGGGCGCACATTTCGTGGCTGTTTGCCCAGGAGGTGCCCGCACCTCCTCACTCAGAGGAGTTCACAGGTCCTTGCTGCCTGGTCCATCCCTCCGCGCCCCAAAGCAGCCGGCATAGCCCTGGGGCTGAGCACCTGCTTGCCTGCTTGCCTCTGTCTCTCTGGCTCGCTGCCTTCGGCTGTGGCGCTTGGCATCGGGGGGGCCGTATTGTCGGGGACCAACCGCACTGCGAGGACATTCCTTGCATGAGCGCGAACGCGTCGAGCCCCTGCAGCAGACGAGCGGCCTCCTTCGGACCAATTGTGAGCCACGGCCCACAGGGAGCACCGCAGGCTTCCCCACCTCACCTCTCTCCACAAATCCCCTCCAGCCATCAATCGCAACTCGCGCCTTCACCTACTCGCCCCCATCTTCTTTCTCCCCTCCCTCCTCCCCTTTCTTCCCCCCTTGCCGGCCGTCCTGGCCCGACCGATGGCCGCCCTCCCCTTCGGCGCCCACCGCCGCGGCCTCCAGCCCGACCTTGCAGAACGTTGCGCGCATCCTAGCGATCTTCCCCGCCTCCACCGTCAGATGTTCCGCCACGCGGTGCCGCACCCCCGTGCCCTCCTCGCTGCCCTCGTACAACAGCGCCGCCTCCTTGCCGCTGAACACCGACTCCAGCAGCGTGACGCCCAGCCAGGGCGACTCCGCCACCCCCACAGCGTCCTTGAACGCTTGCCCGCCCTGCAGCGTCGTCACGCCCAGGTCGATCAGCGCGTCCTCCGCGAAGCACGCCGCCATCTCGTCGAAGTTGGCGGGCTTCTGCCACGAGTGGAAGTATTTCAGCACCAGCTGGCGCGTGGCGTCCGTCCTGTCGCCGGGCATGGGCGCCGCCTCCCCCGCTGCCGGAGCCCGTGAGCCTGGTGAGCTGGCTGAGAAGATGAACAGGCGCCCAGCGCTTGGGCCCAGCTCTCCTTGTGTCGCTCTCCACGCGTGTTTTGGCACTCCGCGCTCGCTGCGTGTCCCGGACGAGCCCCGCGGGTAGGCCAGCGTCCAGTGGGGTGACTGTCCGCAGCAGTCCGAGGCGTGGCGACGAACTGGTGGGGTCCGGTCCTGGGTTTCGCGGTTGTAGACGCCTGACGCTGTGCGAGAGGACACAGGGGCCCAGGCGGGCATTGGGGCGGGAAGGGTGGGGAGAGGGGCTGAAATGGGGGCTGCCGAGCAGCGACCCCTTCGCCAGATTCCTTGACATTAGGAATCTGGTCCAGTGCATTTACGCATCATCAACGCAGCCCACTTTGGTCACGCGCCACGGCAGCTGCGGGCTGTTTGCGGCTGGTGGCTAAGAGCATCTTTATCGGTGGGTGCTATTGTCCCGGCGGTGCTACTCGACTATTCGAATGGCACAGCACGTCAAAAAACCATCATCAACGGTTGGGGAGCAATAGCAACCCAATATCACCGCCGGTGCTAGTCGGCGCCGAGCGGTGCTATTCTGGGCCCGAATAGCACCGCTTGAGGCCAAATAGCACCCCGGAATAGCCACCGGTGCTATTCCGCAAATGCCACCTTAGTAAGGTGTCACAGCAGCCGATGAGAGCCGTTCCTGGATAGGTCCGCCGGTGCAATAGCACCAACGGATAAAGATGCTCTAAGTGCCCAGAAAGGGATGCTCGAAATCGGGCCGGACGACGTAGGAGGCATGCAAATGTAGCGAAGCCGAGTGGGTTGGCGCGATTGGGCTCTTCTGGGAGCCAGCAGATCGCTTGGATCCAGAAAGGTAGTTGCATCTCATGTGCATCTATGTTGTGTAGAGGGCGGCGGTCCATTCTGGCTGTTACCCCTGGAGATAGTGCAGTAAAATCACCCCCAAACGGGCAGCTGAGCCATGTCGACAGCCTCAACACCGCGTCGGTTGAGGGTTCACTGAACGACCAAACTTTTGCCCCTCTCACGAAATGGTTCTTCACGAAGAACTGCTTGTCATGACGACGACCAAAAACAAAAATAGCAATAACAACAACGGAAAGCTTCAAACGGGTAGCAAACGTCCAACTCCCAGCCAGCCAACTTTGCAAATGCACTCGTAGAAACTCTCACAGCTGCGGCTCAGAGCGCCTCGACCGGTAGCAACTGCTCCTCAATGGTTGACGAAGTCAAAACGCAAGTCAAGTCCATGAGTCAGGCCTGCCTTGTCTACAACACGTCAGTGTATGACACGGAAAACGCTTCTCTCCGCCTCGACAAGGTTGTGCAGTGACAAGACATGGCAAGTTCTGGCCAGTAGCTAGACCACACTGGAGGTGCTGGTCTTGAACGGCAAGCAAACAGCTTGAAACCACGCCCCAGACGGGTCGCGGCTTTCGGAAAGGTCGAGCACTATTGCGCCCAGGCCGTGGCGAACGTTAGGCGTACAGCCAAGGGAGTCAGGCAGGCAGGCCGAACGCCTAGACAGCCGTGCGAGACACACATGAACCCCGCGCAACTGTTGTTGCAACTGCCATGCTGGGTGCAGTAATATAGACTCCCCCATGGCTCTATCCGTGCCTCTAGTACTTGTAGCCTCCCCTGTGTTTGAAATACCCCCCGATATAAAATGACATCTTCTGATTCCCTGGAATCTTCCAACCATATTGCCGTGTCATTGTACTTCGCACCGGTACACCCTCCTTCCCAGCCACGTAATGCCCCACGGGCCATATTCCCATCACACAACCACGTGGCGCCTCCACGCGGCCCTCCTGACCCCCTCCTAACACACCCCATGGCAGGTTGCACAGGGGGCGACCCCTTCCATCCAAAACGACACCCTTCGCACATAAAATGCCACACCAAGGATTCATTTGAGGTGAAATCTTTTGCAAATGATTTCCTTAAAACACCTCTATATAACCTGGGATAGCAACAACATGTTGCAAGTTTGACTTGCAACTGATTGATCTTTTCAAATCCAGATTCGATCAATTTTCACAAGTCCATTTTTCTGACTGATGGCACTCAGCCTTCCGTGACAGACCATCTTGCTCTGAGCTAGGGGCACAATCCTGAGCAGCTTGCATGCCACAGGACGCCAGAATCCTCCAACACCACGCCAGGATGACAAATCCAGCTGCAGTACATTTGCATCCCTCTCGCACCCTTCCCGAAGCCACTCCAACCCTGCGACCTCCCGCTCCGCACATCCATGGCGACCGCGCTGACTCAAACTCACGACGCTGCTCCACACAGCTGACCACGCAGGGTGAAAGGTCTGTCTATTAGCCAGAAACCCCCCTGGTATTTTTCGCCTCGATCGGTCTCAATCGGCGATTCGGCCGTGTTGCTGCCATCCCCCATCGGCACCATCATGGCCAGCCACGGCCGTCCCAGCTCGATCAACGGGCATTGCTCAGAAAAAACAATGCAACCCGACTCGCCAAGCCTTTCTGCATCCAACGCGCCCGGTCACGCATGGCTGCACCCCTTGCCAAAGCAAATGCACGTGCCCAACTGCGTATTCACTGGAAACGAGGCAGAGTACGGAGGAGCACTGCGCGGTCAGGTGAGAAACACTCCTTGAACATCTTCAACCGTGTGAATACACATGTGTCAAGGTAGTTCACTCTTTGATCAGTGGTGCGACCTTCGTGTTTCTCAGTACTTAACGGTGTTTTCCAAATGTGTCTGACACCGATGTGCCCGTATGACGCGCTGCCACGTACTGGACTTGTGGCTGGCATCACAACTGCATTGCTTTGGGTTCTTGAGGCGTATAGTGAGGCTGCCATGGTCTCTCTTTGTCACTGAAGTCATCTCCTTGCATTTTGAATGCCTTGGGCTTGGATTACCAGAAAATTCTAGAGCACCCCTGATTGACTTTTTGAGGTTTCCGCTTCATTGAGCGCCAACCTGCTGGATGACAATCAGTGTGACGAAAGTCCTGAGGTTGTCGAACATCCTCTCTGCACCATTTCTGGACCTCACGGGTCGCCAGCTGAGTGATATCATCAACGTATCAACTAATTTTCTGATGAGCCTCATTTATTGGCGTCCCGAATAGCTGGGAATTCATCCTGCCTGACTGGAGGCTGCACCGGGGTGACATAATGTCCCCAGTTCCAGACAACCAGGAAGATCAGAAGATTAGGATGGAGGGCTCCAATCGGTGGCGGATGCTGGGCGACGCTACGACCACTGCCTTCTAAAGGAAACGATTACAACAACACCATAGGACAGCAAAAGCGAATGAAATTACATGAAATCGAAAGATTCTCCAAATGCCGTAGGTTGGAAGCCGGGACAACATAGGGTCGCTGGATGGGCACATGGTGGACAAAACAGTCATTGTGCCCCCTCACTGCTAGGCCCCACTCTCATGGGAAGCTGGTTTGCTCCCACACTTTTCCCAGGATTTCCAAGCCAGTCGGAACTTGCGAGATGAACATTAGGGTGCTTGCAGCATTGAGCACAATGTGACCGATTCGCGCAGCCTCATTTCCCTTTTGCATCGCTGGCACGAGACTTGCAGCAAGAGCCCAAAGGACCACAATGATAGCCCCAGCATACAGATGGGGACCAGGGAAGAGCTTCTCCGCCCGAAGGAAGGTGTTCATGCCGCCATAGAATGCTATGCTCACACCCCCAGCTAGCAGAATGGCGCCCTGGTTGAAGTGGCGGTCCCTGAAGCCTCCAGCCACCAACTCCTTTCGAATCTGCACACGGCAAAAAAGATGATTGTCAGGGTCGCAACAACCAGGTGGTGGTGACAATTTTCAGACGAACTGAGCCACACTGGTGCTGACATGTTGAGGCAGAGCACTGATAGTAATTGAGAAGAAATCATGGGGCATACAATAGGTATCCCCAACCTCGTCAACTTCCTTGAGGCAACTGGACAGCATGCAAAGCATGTTGTAGTGGACAGCATGACAAGCTGGAGCACATGACCTTGATGTGGGGTGGTAGTGCGGGGTGGTGAGATGGGGTGGATGTGTGTACAAGAAGCACGTCGACAATACACCTGATGTACTGCCTCTATTGCGGCGCTGAGGCTGTGCAAGGTGTGTTGGAGGCATGCCTGAATGATCGGTTGTGGTTAATGGCGAATCGCAACAGTTCCACACACCAACACTGAAATGCTACTTGTGAGTTATAACACACAAGGGATGGATGTGAAGAAGGCAAGCGAGTCTAGCCACAACAATTCTGGTGCATTTCGCTCTGGCTGTTCAGGCGCATCTGCACACGGTTTGTGCTTTGGATAGTGGCTTGTCGCAGTCTGGATGACCACACATCCGAGCTCAATGTGATGAAAGGAAAGCGCAAAACCCAGGACCACACACCTCCAGTGTGTGAGAGGTACAAGGAGCTGGCAAAACACATCTTGACTTCAACACACCGCTTTGGACAGGGCCAGCTCTCCACTCAGGGAATGGGTGCCCGCGCATGTGAACCTACTGACAGGTCTACTCGCAGACGCAGAACATTTTCTTGTGCTGATGCGGCAGGCATGCTGATGGACAACAACAAACATCCACCTGAACTCCAAAATGCAAAGCAACATTTCGCAATAAACACGGAGCACGCACCTGTTCCATCTCGGCGATCTGCGCGTTCAACGGCGAGGCCGGCCGCACCCCGTCCGCCCCAACGGCAGGAAGCTCCTTTTTCAGCTCCTTGATCTCGTTTCCGATCTCCCGGGTTCGCCGCCACTGCCAGCCCAGCCAACCGGCGTAGAACGTGGAGCAGAACAGCACCAGCATGACAGCGGGGTGAATGAGAGACGCTATCTTGCCCTCCAGAAGCCCGTATTCGCCGTTCTTCGCGAGGGCCTCGTCCACGCCCAGGACGGCGGGCGCCAGGAGGGCCGAGGCCGACAGGAGGGCAGACCTCATGGCGTCGTTCGACGGCTCGGCGCCGTCGATGCTGGTCTTGGCGTCATCGACATTGCCAAAGCGGCTGGAGATCATGCAGACTCTGTGCGCGAGTGGCGCCCTGCAGGGCAGGGCGAGTCGCCTGTTGAGGGGGGCGAGGCCGGGGAGGCGGAGGAGGGTCGCCATGGCGCGGGCGGGCGATGAGTGGCCTGGAGGGGCCGGTTGGGGAGGCCCAGGGATATCCAAGTTGTTCTGCGCTGAGCGATCAGATGATGATGCCTGAGATGATAACACGACACAACGGTACCCCGAAATATTCAATCCTTCCGCATCAGAAAATTTCACCTTCACGTTTCTGCTCCGCATTTTTTCGACAGACCATTGTTTTGGGGGTCCGCGTCAGAGGGTGTTCCCGATACGGAACATTGTGACGGTGACAGTGATGGAGACGGAGACCCGGTACATACACACCCTAAACCCTATACGCCCCACGGCCCAATCCTGACCCGCCTACGTCTCCGTCACTATCACCGTACCAGGAAACCCTAAACCCTGGAAAACCAAGAATCGCCCAATCGTGACCCGTCCCCGTAACTGGCCCCGTCACCATCTCCGTGACTGTCACTGTCACCGTGCTCATGGTCTGTATCGGGAACACTGCGTCGCATCATGGCAAACGCCGGAATGAGGAATCAACTCATTTCGTATGGCCTCAAAAGGCGGTTTTCCGCCCCAGAGACTCGTGCATCTGGGGCTACTGGATGCCGCGAGCCGTCTGCGCTGTGGCTGGAGCAGCTCCGCAGATTCTTGGCACCATCGCGTTTGTATTATTGAAAAAGAGGCCAAACGTTACGTTACTATGCAGAAGGTTGAATATTTCGTGGTAGGGCTTGCCTGTAGACGCAGTTTCCTAAGCCGAGCAACGAATTTTCCACGTGGAAAATTTGTGTTTCCTGCATGAACCGAGCAATTCCCCGCATGCGGTGTCCTGCGGAACTGTTGCAGGCTTCAGCGGCATGTTGGAGACATTGGTATCACATTAGCGCAAAGGAAATCATCATGGCCCAACGACAAACATCTTTGGGGCCCACCTTTGCTTCCCGCCGGGGCCGGCGGCGTCTTGGGAAGCAGTGGGCTGGGCACCTTCCACAACTGGGCCCTGACGTAGTTGGCCGCCCCCCCCGCCCCCGTGCCTGTTACACACGCAGTACAGCCTCCACCCCTCGCCGTCCTCCGTCGCGGTGAACTCCTCGAGCACAATCACCACAACCTGCGCACCAGCAAACCATTCAGCGACGACTCCGAAGCCCCAATCTCTGATAAACGCCCCATGCTCCAGTCCGAGTCCTGCGTGGCGTCACTGCCACTGGCCCCCGCGGGAGGCCACAGGCGCGTTCGCAGAGTCATGCGTACGAGGTGTTGATGTTTCAGGGCCCAGGAACTGGAAGGCCCCAAAGGCACGGTGTGGTTCGCGATCGCTTGCGCCCCGCGAGTCGTGAGCGACTCGGGGCGCAGAGACGCACACAGGGCGCCCTCAAGAACTTGATTCAAAGGCCCCCTTCGCGCCGCAGCCTCGTGCAACCACCCCAAATGTTGGGGCCCGCCGCCAAACCGACGCTTGGCGCAATGCCAATCTGAGAGCGTTCCAACACGGGTCGGACGACTGTCAAGCTGCGCGGCGCTGTCCAGAAGGGACCAATTTCCGCGTCCTTTGCGACCTGGGGGGACGGCGAGCGCAACCCACCTGTCCCTTCGCGTTCCTTTTGCATACGGAGTATTGTGCGCGCGGACGCCCCGCCGGTTTGGCCGGCGTCCGTGCGCTTTCGCCTCCCTGGCCGGAAGCCGCGTCCGCGTGCATCGCGCCAAGCCACCTCCGCCGCTGTCTGCTGTTCAAGAACTCATCAGCCGGAGCGGGGAAACGAGTTGGCCGTGCATGGCACGCGCAGCTGTGGTGTGCGCCTGGCGGATGGCGCAAATGGGCACCGGCCGTGCCGACTGCGACCGCCGCTGGCTCACTTGCGCCGACGAACTTGCGCCTCTGCTCAGGACCGTGCTGTCGACTGCGTATCTTGGAAGATGCGGAGGCCGGAGTGGGAGTGGACGGGCGGTGCAAACGTTCACTGGCGCAGACAAGAGAGGAGGTCACTGTTTTGTGCCTTTGGGCACCAAGTATCGGACACACCGTGGGGAGCGTGCGAGTCGCACGTCCGCTGTGTGGCAGGCGCGTAACTGCCGGGGCATCTAATAAGTCTGCCTTGTCCGTGAAGATCCCTTCTTGTTTCGGACACACTAAACCGTGTACAACTGACCCACCGACCGCCGTTGGCC